CTATATTCTGGTCTTTCTGTAAAATTAATTTTAACATTATTATCGTTGATGACTTTAATTTGGGAGTTTAGGATTTGTCTCATCATACTATGGAGTTTATTAAAGTTTTGGAAGCTATCCACTATGATACGTGGTGGTGCCTTAATTTTTACAGGTTTTTCTATTAAAGTGCTGTTATTTTGTTGTTGTGGCTGTGGAAGTGTCAATGGGGTATCCATTTTTCTTTTTTTCCTGTTTTTTACGCTGATCCATGCAGTCTCTTTTGCCAGATCTATTTTATTAGTAAAATATTTAGTAGGCTTAGTTGCATTGTCTATATTGCCATACTTTCTTTTATTCCTGTATATTTTTGATTAATTCATCATTTGCTTCCATAATTTTATCTGTTTGGATTTGGAGCAACTGTACCTTATCAGCAAGATTATTCCTCTCCATTTTCATTTGTTTAAGAGCATTGTTTAACCACTTATTCAGGAGAACGTTATTCTTGGATCAGTTTCGTCCTTATTAGTAACAAAAACTAGAATATATATCGCTTTTTCGTTGTCATTTATCGCTTTCTACATTGTCATACACAATTATTTGTCTTCGACAAGCGCAGTAGTACCCGAAAAGAAATATCTTTATGTCATACTAGTTCATTATTGTGTTTCTATTGCTTAGTTACCAACTATCTAATTTCGCACTGTTCACTCTATGGCCCGCGCGGGCGTAAAGAGAAATACTTTTTTGTTTAACTTATTTAATAACCTTTATTAATGAAATTACAAAGGGAATATAGCAATATATGTAAATATTCGATGAACAATATTTTGACGAATTAACATAAAATTGGCAGTTCTGAAAAGATCCGGTGATAGTTAAGTTGCCTGCAGCAAACGATTCATGTTTCATTGTTTGAGTATCAAATTTCTGTACCGAAACGCCTTACCCGGAAGCATATTTACACATCCTCCTATATGACGGCACCGGAGTGCTGAAATCTGTTCGCCTTTGTAACCTACAAGTACGCTACAAAAGCTCATTGATTTAGGCACCAATGCATGAGGCCTCTCTTATTGCTGGAATCAGTAAGCAAGCTTATCTGCATTCTATGAAACAATGGCTGTACTTAAACTGCTGTTAAACGGTCGTGTACTAAAATGCCGTTAATAGACATGATGTTATTCAAACGACGCATTTGAAGTGTTTTGGGATTAAAAAAATAAGAAAATATACAAGAAGAAAACGAAGAAACGACTTCGCCGCCACCAAAAAAATTTAACCCATACCTGGCTACGCTTACCGGCATAGACGCCAATGGCCTGGACACAGCTAAAATTGAAAAGTAAAGTCTCACCTAACATAAAATTTGTATGGGTGCCTAAATCAATGAGCTTTTGTAGCGTACTTGTAGGCTACAAAGGCGAACAGGTTTTAGCACTCCGGTGCCGTCATATAGGAGGATGTGTAAATATGCTACCCGGAAGCTACACCTGCCAGCATTCTTGAAACTTTAGTTTTTGAAGATAAACTATCCTTTAAATATCCTTCAGCAACCGACGTACTCTTCCATCCACCATGGCGCTTCAACGTGGTCATACTGGCTCCAGCATCTGCAAGAAAAGTAGCTGACGTTCGACGCATACAATGACCTGTATATTTCTCAGGATCACTTAAATAATGGACGGGATTTTTCCAGACGTGTTTTTTTTCTATTGGCTGTACAGTATATCGACCTTGTCTATAGGTCAGAAAAAGCCTTTTTTCTGAGGAACCACGTGGCCGTAGTGACATATAATCTCTTATTAGCTTTAAACTGTTCATTTCACCCTCATCTATAATGGTAAAAATGCGTTTTTTATCGGTCTTTGTCTCTGGTATATTTACCATAAAAACCGATTTTCTATCTTCTACATGAGTAACTAACATGTTCACAAGTTCTTGCCGTCGACATCCACCAAATATTCCAAATATTAATGCAACTTTGTTCATTAAAAACGTCTCGTTCGGTGCATTATGAATAAATTTTAAAACATCTTCTCTAGACAGAATTTTAGACTTCTTTGGTTTGTAGCTTTTTGAAGTTTGCTTCAAATATTCCGTTAACTTATGGTAATTAGTAGACCTAGGAATATATGCACCCAAAAAGTAGTTAAATATGCGTATATATATATGCCGCAAAATACTTCAATATATACGTAAAAAAATTGAAAAATATGCAGAGTATATGCAATAAGAGTAATTTGTTATTTGATCGAAATAGTTTATTAATATTTATTATTTGTTTTTATTTTACAGTACCTAATATAATACTTAATAATTATTTAATTATTAACTAATTTTATTTACAAATCAACATTATTATAAAACGAATGAGCAATTAGATGTTTTTCTAAATTATCTGTATTAAATGATTGTCTCCTATCAGTAAGTATGTACTTGTACAAAGAAAAACTCCCTTTCGACATCTACAGAAGTAATAGGTGCAAACTTAAATTTTCCTGAAATATCTGGATGAATAATATTAATATCTTCAAAGTTACCAGAATAAATATTAGCAAGGTTTTTTAAAACAATAAATCCTTTATTTTTTAAAATTACATTTGAAAATTTATGAAAAATCGTCTTTCCAATATCGCCCTGGACATTTTTACACTCTGGTTCAAACGTCTTAATTAAATTTACGGAAGTCACCAAAGGTAAATTTTTTTGTTCTAAATCTAATATAATTTTGGGTACAAATGCATGATTTTTTAAAAACACTAATTGCTTTGGTAATATATGATTTTGAAACAACTTCTTTGTATTAGATATTCCCTTAGATGAATCATCAAAATCAAATACGATTTCTTTAATTTTTTCATAATTATCTGCGTAAAAAAAAGGCAGCTTTAAGCCAGGTACCCACCGAGTAATAAGGCCATGAGCCAAACATGTAACATGGATTAAGTTTTTGTAAAACATTTTTAAATTTTATGCTGCTTTTACCATGTACGGGGAAGCATCGGATAACAGCAATAAACATTTTTTTGTTGGAACGGCTTCCGGAAGAAAAAAGGAAGACAATTCTGTCTGGATAAAACGAGTTATTGTCAAGTTATTTGTTTTAGCTAATTGCTTTGAAGCGATTAGATATGGACCAATTTGGATTTCTTCGCGTAATGAACTTATCATTAAATGGGCTATATATCGACCACAAGAGTCTGTTGTTTTCATCCACAATAATGTAGAAATGGTTTCCAACGGTAATCTAACGAATTTTTTACACGAGTCTCAATGTACAAACTGTCAACACCACGTTTGCGTAATATACTTTGCTCTGGAATATTAAATTTTCAGTATTTTTGCAAAAATGATCGGAGATTTGGATTATTTAATCGTATTAAAGGGATATTCGAAGTCACTAAAGCTTTGCATAAATCTTCATTAAAAATAGCTTGTTCACTTCTAGACGATCCAGATTCTAAATATTGTTTCAAGGGAAATTGACTTTGTCTGCGAGTGTCTTTAGATTTCTGCTTTGCTATATGTGAGGGTGTTTTCGCGTGTTGGTCGATTTGAAACTTTTTTTACATGGAATCTAAAACAAATAAATTCCTGTAGATGTTGAAGTTTTAATTAAATTAAATAAATGCGTACGTTGTAAAGTTGCCCTACTTTTTTTTTAACTGTGAGTTGAAATAATATTTTACTGTCGTTTGATTTACCATTGTCAAAGGTCAAAATAAAATATAAAATAAAAAAGTACTTACAATTTTAGAACATGTTTTACAAAACACCTGATTATCACCTTCTACAACAAAATCTGAATAAGATTTTACCCACGACTCAATTAATTTTGCCATTTTTCCCACTGGTTAACACAACACAACAATAAAGACTGAAATGAAGTTGAAAGTAAACTGAGTCATTTATAAATTTGAAGATATTAATACAACTACCTGAAAGGGTATTTACCAAAATTTGTTGGTTTAAGGAGGGTGTTTATAATTTAATCCTCTCAAGTACCTACACCATTAACCGTAATTTATTACAGGGAAAAGTTAATTCTTCAAAATTTTAGGAAATCGACCTGTAAAGGCATTTCACAAAATATTATTTTGGTCCAAAACTCATAATTTTAATATGTCCAGCCAATTAGTACGTCAGATTATGCCAAAAAAATAACAAAATGTCAATATATGCATTCAAAATCAAAAATTGTATATATATGCAACATATGCAAAATATGCCGTTTTGCATATATTCCTAGCTCTAGTAATTAGCAATGTTAATATTTTTATTTACTATTAAAGTCTTCTTTACCATGGAATATTTGGACCACAAGGAACTCGGAGAAAATGTTTTAGCGAGATCGCCGAAGTATCCAAGCAACACAGTTTCATTAATATCTCTTATGTAGTTTTCTTGCATCCAATTTAATAATTTTTCGTATTCTATGTCGTAAGCTTCTTTAGACTTTTTTGGAAACAGATTTTCAGTTGCTTTCTTTGCTTTTTCAATAATTTCGTCAGGAATTCCAAAATCTTCGTTAATTTTGACTTCTAACTTTGACACATAAAATTTATTGTGATTTTATGACATTTACGTTTGTCAACATTCACCTAACAATGATAGTGTCTACTATGATAAAATGGCAATGTTATTAATTCAAACCGGATTTTTTAAAATACTGATTTATATTGAGATTGGATTGCAATAACGAACTAGTATGACATAAAAGTTTGTATGTACCGCGGGCATAAACAGATGTGTATTCGGGCGACTTACAAACCCTCGGGCCAGAGGCCCTCGGTTTCGTAAGACGTCGCCCTCAGGGCATAAACATCTATTTATACCCTTGGTACATAAATAACTATTTAGTTTAAACGTATACTATTCATAGCTTGACTGCAATGTAGTTAAATTCGGAAATTGCAATAAATTATTCATATTAATCATATTTCTTCTCTATAACTCTATCCCCTTGGCTCTATATTTCATTACATGCATTAAATGTTTCTTAATTTAATTTTCAGTGAAACCGGAATTCAAGTACATTGCAAACATGCACGGCAACGAAGTATTGGGAAGGGAATTAATTTTGAAACTGGCGGATTATCTGTGCGAACAGTACACGAAAGGAGATCCGAAAATTAGATACCTCATTCAACTGACGAGGATCCATCTCATGCCAAGCATGAATCCTGACGGATGGCAGTTGGCCACTGATACGGTGAGTTAAATCTAAATTATATCATTGTATCTAGATAAGATAGTAGGACGTTTCATTGGAGGCAATTATGTCGCGACATCTGTTAGAACAAGTACAGAACTTCATTAAAATATCTCGAGCTCTAGCGCTTTCTCAATCATTGAGTATAGAATTCTATATACATTAGACTGGGCCAAAAAAATTGACTATTTATTTTGAAAAATATATCGAGAATGTCATTCAGGATGACAAAAAAAAAATTCGTGAAAATTTGAGCCCTTAATATTAATTTTAAGAGGTCTATCATCGCTATTTTTGATTTTTAGTCATAATTTGATGTTTTAAGTTAGAGCTGTCAAAATATTAAAGTAAAAAAAATCCTTTTCACTTATTTTAATATACAATTAAGTTCTCTACAAAAAATGTCACGTTAAGTGGTTTGTTAGAAAAACCAATTAATCGTGGGGTACGCCACTGCGTATTTCGGATCGCCCAAACGATCTTCCAGTTGAAGAAGATCTTTGCGCCACCCGAAAATACTCACTGGAGAACCTTTCTTATGATTTATTACGCTTGGCTTGGCTTTACGCTACTTGGGAAGGAATAAAAGTCACTGCATAAAATACTACAAATCTTTAATAAATACAAACTAAAATCCCCTGAACTGTCCAGAAATCCCCAATATAATAATACATGATTGAACATTTTCGTCAGACGAGCCGTTTCCAAGTAATTAAGCTTAATAGGTCGATGTGTTTTTTCGATTTGTCCTTTTTTACTTTGAAATTTTGTAACTAATGAATCAATAAATATTTAAAAAATCTGATGTATCCAACACATGACTTTCCTATTTAGTTTTTCCGGTTATTTTGTACAACCTATTGCAGCACCTCTATAAATGTTTAGGGGATAAACTAAATATATACATTTTCCACAAACATCTACCTCGAAACACTTTTCTATAGATATTCATTGAAAACGAAAATAATGAAAAATTTAAATTTCTTCGTCCAATTTTTCCAATACTTTATTTATTTATTTAATTAAACATCCAACGGCCAATAGCCACTTACAGGATGAGTAGTAATACAAAAAACTTAGAAACTAAAAAAAAAAAATAAATAAAAATAAAAACAAGAAAATAATTTACATCAATGACATGAATAATATAAATACATAATAATTGAACTGAAATTGTGTGGGTACCTTGAAAAAACTCTCGGTGAGAGAAAAAAGCTACCCACACAAATCAGTGCAAATAGGGTAAAATAAGAATATATGTTGAAAATCAATTGAGCGCAAATTAAAAACATAGTTACGAAACAAAAACATGAGTGCAAAGAGAAACCTAACAAAAAATATTTACAATTACGAAAATAATGTTCTAATTTTATTTATCGAAGTACAGAATATATCGATATCCGAGTAGTTATTTACCTCCGATAGCATACTGAAAATGGTGACCGACACAGCACATTAGTTCTAGGAATCGGAAGTGAAAAGGTTTGAACATGCCTTGCAGCGAGTCTAGGGATGTAAAAATTAAGTTGACTTAATAATGTTGAACATTTGATGCGATTATGTACTAAGTTATGAATAAAAATAATGGCTGATATAATCCTCGTGTGTAAACTTGGCATTTTAAATAATACTAATAGTTGATCCTGGGGAAATCCTCTTACTGGATACGTACCATAAAAACGACAGTGCAAACTTTTTAAAAATCGACGCTGAACTCGTTCTAACGCTAAAATCTGAACATTAGTATTGGGAGACCATATAACCGAGGCGTATTCCAACTTGGACCTGGTGAGAGCACAGAACACAAGCTTGCAGGTCTCCACATTATTAAAATCTTTTATCGATCGTAAAATAAAGCCCAAAATTTTGTAAGCAGATGCAGTAATGTGACTTATGTGATCCGCAAAGGTTAGTCTGTGATCAAATGTGACGCCAAGGTCGTTAAACGTATCAGGTCTATTAAGAGTACTACCATCTAAGTTATAGTCATAACGGATAGGACTTTGTCTATGAGTGTATGACATTGCATTGCATTTACCAGCATTTAGCATTAAACTATTATTAGAACACCATTCGGAAATTATATCAAGATCACGTTGCAGCGAAGAACAGTCGGCTACTACAGTATCAATATTTGAAATGAATTTCAAGTCATCAGCATAAAGCAAACATGTGCCATTAACTTTTAAAGTTATGTCATTAATAAAGATAATGAAGCATAGCGGACCCAATATAGAACCTTGTGGCACACCAGATGTTTGAAAAAATGAGGTTGATTTGTGTCCATTAACTTGGGTATATTGTGACCGCTCGGTCAAGTAAGATTTAAAAAGGAAAATTAGTGCATTCGAAATATTCATGAAGTCAAGCTTATATAATAATACAGAGTGATTGAGCCTATCAAATGCTTTAGTAAAATCATTATAGATTATGTCGACCTGTCCTCCGTTATCTATTACTTCACTAATAATTTGGGTTTTTACAGCTAGATTGGTAACAGTAGATTTGCCCTTTATGAAGCCGTGTTGCTCGGGAATTATAGAATTTACAACATGTTCGTATAGATGGTGCTTTAAAGTAATTTCAAATACCTTACTAAAATTGGAGATAATGGATATTGGCCTATAATTGTTAACGTCTGTCCTACTCCCTTTTTTGAAATTTTCCATTTATCCGGAAAGGTAGAAGTCTTAATTATCAATTTAAACATTTGTGTTAAAGGTTGAGCAAGTACAAACTGACAGTCACTAATAAGAAAAGCGGGAATGTCATCAGGGCCGGTGGTCATATTTGCTTTTATACGTCGAATTGATTCAAGTACTACCTTTTCTGTAATTCTAATTGAAGATAACATTTGATTTGAAAACGGAGATGTGCTGTTCATTGTTGTTTGGAGAAGTGTGCTATTTCTAGGAAAAGATATGCGAAAATAATCCGCAAAAGCATTACAAATATCTTCATTATTCTCGTAATCTACACCATACACAATACGGTCCATTTTAGAAAAATCATGAAATAACAATTTTCATAAAAATCAGAATTTTGCACATTTTGTCAAATTTCTCGAATACGGACCATTTCAGGAAATTTTGACATAAAGCAAAAATTATAGATAATAATATTAGAAGTAACTTTTATTTGAAAAATTTTCTTCTCCAGACATAAATAACAGACATATTCTATAAAATATAAAAACGGCCTCCCATGAAGTACCCCCCATTGATGGACATATCAGCTGTCCAAAGGACGTCCACCATTTTATCGAAGAACATCCAATGGACATTCAGTGGACATCCATTAGACTATATAAATGTCCGACTTCTGGACGTCCATTTGGACTTCATGAAAGGTCCATATCGTTACCTTAACATGTAAAACTTCTAACTACTTACGTAATAATTTTACAGGAGAAGCAAAAAACCGTTTTATTTAAATATTACAAGAAAAAAAAAATAAATTAGATTATTGGGTCTTTATTTAAAGGAAGCTTTTAATAAAGATCTAAAATACGAAAATTGTTGTAGATTTAATTTTGTAGGTTTTTTTATTAGACGACCTGAAGATGTATGTCTTAGTGGAATTTCTGAATCTGTATTTTCTGTGAGTCCAGAATTTCCAAAGGAATCAGTGAGACTGTCATGTTCAGTGATGTCTAAATAATTTTCATTATCTGAAAGATTTGTATCGGAGGTTGCAGGAACTGGAACTAGTAATCGTCTGTTTCTTGCAATCTCAGATCCAAAATCGTTTAATTTGACAGAGTAAGTTCGATTTCTATTTTTATTTGTAACATGGCCTTCTTTAACTTTATCATTATTTTTAATAAAAACTTTTTGATTTTCTTTGAGTGGTTTGAGGTTTATTGTACCTCTATCATAATATGATTTTTGAATTTTTTGTTTGTTTCAAGCTTATTAGTAATTCAGTTTGTATTAAAGATGTTTGTTCACGAGTACTTAATAATAAATCAATATTCTACCTCCTAACTAAAAGCATATGGTACCCATATATCACTAGAGTGAATTATGATAATTCACGCTTTTGTAATTATGGCACATTCTAGTAGATAACTAAAGATGGGCGATACTTTTCATAACGATATTTTCTAGATCGAAAAATCAAATAAAGGAAAAATCGAAGAATCGAAAAATCAAAAAATCGAAAAATAAAAAAATCGAAAAATCAGAAATTCGAAAAATTTGAAAATCGGAAAATTGAAGTCGAAAAATCAAAAACTAAAAAAATCGAAAAATCAGAACTTCGAAAAATCGAAAAATCGAAAAATCGAAAAATCGAAAAATCGAAAAATCGAAAAATCGAAAAATCGAAAAATCGAAAAATCGAAAAATCGAAAAATCGAAAAATCGAAAAATCGAAAAATCAAAAAATCAAAAAATCAAAAAATCGAAAAATCGAAAAATCGAAAAATCGAAAAATCGAAAAATCGAAAAATCGAAAAATCGAAAAATCGAAAAATCGAAAAATCGAAAAATCGAAAAATCGAAAAATCGAAAAATCGAAAAATCGAAAAATCGAAAAATCGAAAAATCGAAAAATCGAAAAATCGAAAAATCAAAAAATCAAAAAATCGAAAAATCGAAAAATCGAAAAATCGAAAAATCGAAAAATCGAAAAATCGAAAAATCGAAAAATCGAAAAATCGAAAAATCGAAAAATCGAAAAATCGAAAAATCGAAAAATCGAAAAATCGAAAAATCGAAAAATCGAAAAATCGAAAAATCGAAAAATCGAAAAATCGAAAAATCAAAAAATCGAAAAATCGAAAAATCGAAAAATCGAAAAATCGAAAAATCGAAAAATCGAAAAATCGAAAAATCGAAAAATCGAAAAATCGAAAAATCGAAAAATCGAAAAATCGAAAAATCGAAAAATCGAAAAATCGAAAAATCGAAAAATCGAAAAATCGAAAAATCGAAAAATCGAAAAATCGAAAAATCGAAAAATCGAAAAATCGAAAAATCGAAAAATCGAAAAATCGA